ACAACCCTAGGAACCTCCGTCTTGCAGTGTCCAGTTATGTCCACTGGACACCACACACTTATATGAGTTCGTCAATTTAACAAAGACATTGATATGTACCAGGCTTGTTATCCCGAGGGGAGTCTCTGAAACGCTTCAAAGTAAACACATTGCTTCAGGTAGAATAAACAAAGAAATTTATTAAACTATAAAGATAGATTTTAAGTGATTATAAGTCAAAGCATAACAAGTCAGATTTGGTCAAATGAAATAAAAGCAAAACACATTCTAAGCTGATCTTAACACTTTCAGTGCTCTTATAAACTTAGATATTTCTCAGCACAGGCTGGCTGGTTGGTCTTCAACCAGGCTCTCCCCTTTGATCAGCGCTTCAGTCACTTGGTGTGGTGTCTGTAAATATAGGTGGAAGAGAGAGGAAGAGCATGGAAAACGTCTCTCCCTTTTGTCATGTTCTTTCTTCCCTCTTGGCTTTGCTCCCCCCCTTCAGTGCCAGGTGAACATTACCTCATCACAGTTCCAAACTGACCAAAGGAAGGGGGGTGATTCCTTCGAGAGTCCAACAGATTCTTTTGTTGCTGCCTAGGCCGGCGCTCTTTGTTCCTGTGAGGCTGGGCTGGGTTTGTCCTATATATGCCCTGATGAGGTATGAACTGCCTCTCAGCTCTTGGAGAATGTGACATTATTGACATAAACAGTGACCATATAGATCATTGTTGCAACCAGGGTCCTATGGTTGCACCAATTCTTGTACGGAGGAGGCCAAGTGTGGTGTCTATGGAAAGGTTGTAGTTTGTTGGTTGTGATTATGTTGTCTGTATGTGTGTAACATTTTTGTATTTGAAGTTATGAATATTGGCTATGTACTTGTTTGATTTTAAATAGCCTCAGTGAAGCATTTGGTGAGCTTCTTGAGAAAGGACTCTTCTCAGTAAGTGCCCAATCAAGAAACACTTAACTGACAATGGACTTTGGGAGATGCCAATCCACATCTGAGCTTTCCTGGGAATGTTCAAACTGACATATAAGTAATGGCGTCAGCCTGGAAAAAGCTGAATCATTCATACACATGTGACTTGCCCAGGTGGCTACAGACTCCATCTTGTTACTGTGATTTTGCACAGAAGAACAAAGGGGTTTACACCCACAAGAGAGAATATAAAAGGCCCTGGAAACTCCTCCATTTTGTTTTCAGCTGGCTCAAAAGATAGCCTCTCTACCCCAAAGAGATGCCTGAAAGAAACTGGAACAAAGGACAGTAACTACAGGGGTGTGAGTGATTGCTGGACTCAGACTAGGAAGGAGTCTAGTCTGAGAAAGAAGCTTATTGGAACATCTCTGAGGGTGATGTATTATTTTCCTACTGTATTAGGTTTAGATTTGCGTGTTTTTGTTTTATATTGCTTGGTAATTTACTTTGTTCTGTCTGTCATTACTTGGAACCACTTAAATCCTATTTTTTATACTTAATAAAATCACTTTTTGCTTATTAATTGATCCAGAGTAAGTAATTAATTCCTGGGAGAGCAAACAGCTGTGCATATCTCTCTATCAGTGTTACAGAGGGTGGACAATTTATGAGTTTACTCTGTATAAGCTTTATACAGAGTAAAACAGATTTATTTGGGGTTTGGACCCCATTGGGAACTGGGTATCTGAGTGCTAGAGGCAGGAGCACTTCTTAAGCTGTTTTCACTTAAGTCTGCTGCTTGTGGGGGACGTGGTTCAGACCTGGGTCTGTGTTTGCAGCAGGCTAGCGTGTCTGGCTCAACAAGACAGGGTACTGGAGTCCCAAGCTGGCAGGGAAAATGGGGTCAGAGGTAGTCTCAGCACATCAGGTGGCAGTCCCAAGGGGGTCTCTGTGACCCAACCCATCACAGAGAGTTTTTGCCTGGGCTTATTTTAAGCCACGAGGCTACATTTTCAGCCTCATAACTACATACATGAAATTATAACCTATAACCTTACTATAACATTACTGTAACAACAATGCTTAGTGCATCGTAAGCCTTCTGAAGACACCCGACATGACAAACTTTGCATTGGATACCACATAATCATTTTACAAGGATGAACATGGGGGTGCTGGGTGTTCCCCCGAGGTAGAGAGCATCACACATGGATTTATATACAGGCAATATGATATTCCCGTCTTATTATCTATCCCTCTCTTAAAGATTCCCAACATTCTGCTAGCTTGTCTGACTAGCACTGCACATTGAGTGGATGTTGTCAGAGAACTCCACAATGACTCCAAGATCTTTTACTTGAACGGTAACAGCTAATTTAGACCCCATCATTTTATATGTATAGTTGGGATTATGTTTTCCAATGTGCATTACTTCGCATTTATCAACAGTGAATTTCATCTGCCATTTTCTTTCCCAGTCACCCAGTTTTGTGAGATCCCTTTGTAATTCTTCGCAGTCTGCTTTGGACTTAACTATCTGGAGTAGTTTTGTATAATCTGCAAATTTTGCCACCTCGCTGTTTACCCCTTTTTCCAGGTTGTTCATCTATGTGTCTGATAATTCTGCTCTTTACTATAGTTTCAACCAGTTTGTCCGGTACTGAAGTTAGGCTTACTGGCCTGTAATTGCTGGGATCACCTCTGGAGCCTTTTAAAAAAAGGCTTCACATTAGCTATCCTCCAGTCATCTGGTACAGAAGCTGATTGAAATGATAGGTTACATATCACAGTTAGAAGTTCTGCAATTTCACATTTGAGTTCTTTCAGAACTCTTGAGTGAATACCATTTGGTCCTGGTAACTTATTACTGCTCAGTTTAACAATTTGTTACAAAACCTCCTCTAATGACACCTCAATCTGGGACAGTTGCTCAGATTTGTCACCTAAAAAGAATGGCTCAGGTTTGGGAATCTCCCTCACAACGACAACTGTGAAGACCAATGCAAAGAATTCATTTAGTTTCTCTGCAATGGCCTTATCATCCTTGAGTGATCTTTTAAAAGCTCAATCGTCCAATGGCCCTGCTTGTTCTTTAGTAGGCTTCCTGTTTCTGATGTACTTAAAAAAAAATTGCTATTATTTTTTGAGTCTTTGGCTAGCTGTTCTTCAGATTCTTTTTTGGCCTTCCTAATTGTATTTTTCACTATTATGCTCCTTTCTGTTTTCCTCACAAGGATTTAACTTCCACTTCTTAAAGGATGCCTTTTTGCCTCTCACTGCTTCTTTTACTTTGGCACGGTGACACTTTTTTTGATTCCCTTACTATGTTTTTTAATTTCGGGTATACATTTAAGTTGAGCCTCTATTGTGGTATCTTTAAAAAGTTACTGGGTCTTGTGCTGTGCACCACTTTGCAAGGTGAAACAGTACCATCCTTGGAAAAAGTGAGTTTAGTTGTATTTAATGCAATGCATAAGAAATTAAACAGCACAAGGTTTCCATAAGCAAGTAATACTGTATAAATTGTACAGGTTCTCTCCAAGCTAGTCATGGAGTGAATGAAAAACAGATACTTGAGCTGGACAACAATCTCTCTCCAGGTTTTTAAATAAGAGACATGCACAGAGACAACCCATAACTCTTGATGGTGGCTGGGGAGCACAATTTAAAGGTTGGGGCGGGCACATGACCACCCCTTTCCATGCATGCGTCACCTCTGGGCCCTTTCCCGCTCCCCCTGCGCCTCCCATGCCCTCTTGAGTCCACTCCCCTCAGAGAGCTCCTTCCTAACTTACTTCTCCCATTGCCTCCCCCCTGCGGGCCAGAGCGGGCTCTGATACCTACCACCAAGCAGGTTACTGCAGCTGCGAGCAAAGAAGAGACGGGATTCAGAGGGCTTCCCCATACCTCCTCTGATGTTGCTGTGCTGCCAGCCCCATCTCTCTTCCCTGCTCCAGGTGTCTCCTAGCAGGACTGAGCGGGAGTGCTTGGTGCTGGTGTTGGTGCCTTTCCCAGGCACGTCCCGCTCAGGCGCACTCAGCCAGACTCCCACCATGGCAGAAATTGGGGGAGGGGGACTCGTGACACCACATGTCCCTATCCCCACACAGGACAAAGAACTGTACACTGAACATAGTATTCTTGTTAGGAAGCACACCAAGCATACAGACCAACACACTCTTTGATGTTAGAAAGTATTTTCCCCCCATTCTGCAGCTTCCTAGTGCCATGCTTCCTCATTCGCAATCCCCTTTCACACCTTCTCAGTGCTGTGACTTTCTCCCACTCCCACTAAACTACTGTATGTATAGCAGCCCAAGGTTACTGCCACTATGGATCAGACTTTACATCTGTCATTAATAGTCAGCAATAGCATGCAATTCAAATATAACCATGGTAACTTCTTTTTAGAGCTTCATGAAGCTTTTGTAGCAAACCTGAAATCACACAATACTCACCTGGTTTCAGGTTAGGTACAAACTCTCTAGAGTTCACCTAGGTTCACTGACACACTGATGAACTTTTCAAGAGAACCTGGGCCAAATTCATGGCTTTGTATGAAAACCATGACAGGTTGAACTAAACATAATGTGAAATTTGACATTTATGACTGTTTTATTTTGAGTCTGTGTTTCTTTGAACCTAAAATTTGAAGCAAACCTCAGGGTACATAAACCCCTGTGGATTGAAATTGAAGAGGTTTGCATGAATCCCTGTGATATTGAACAGCTGAGTTCCACACAGCTCTGCTTAGAATCATAGACTTTAAGATCTTAATTTTCTTTGTTACTTTGCTGCTATTTTTTTGTCTTCACTTGAAGTTAGATCCAATCCCCTGGGGAGCTTTGACTATGATTTCCCCCACCCCATTCCCCATCTGTGTCAACTAGCCCAATCTGTAGTTATATTTTTGGCAACATGAAGAGCATCTTTAACAGTAATTAACATAGAGATTTTTTAAAAATTCATTTATTTGTATGTAATGTTATTGTTTTAAATATCCTCACTATTCTGATGTTCTCTAGATATCCCTGGTTGAACAGAAGTGTTTCTGCTACATTGAGGCCTTCAGATTATGCAGAGAGATACTTACAGATCAAGAGGCCAGTCCTGCAAACCTTCTGGGCACAGAGATTCCATTAGTGTTAATTGTCTTCATTGTCCTTATTTGTGGCTTGATCCTGCTTCCACTGAAGTCAATAGGAGTTGTGCCATCGACTGCAACATGAGCAGAATTGGGGCATTGGTTCATATTATGGGTCCAGTTGAAAATGAGCGTAAATCATTGCAATTCTAATTTGGTATTTTTTTACACCTAGTTTGCACTCACTTTGTACTGAACTAAGTGATGACACAAGGTGCAGAACCACTATGCATTTGGCCTTCAATTTCTTTGATTCTCGCACAATTTAAACTCCTGTTTTAGGTTGTCTATGAAATTGCTTGAGTTTCAAGGAAGTTTCCGGTTACACAAATGGGTTGGTGGGATTTGGCAAACCTCAGAGAAGGCTGAGACTGAAAACATTGTTAACACTACGACTACAGATCTATCTAAAACCATTTAACTGGCAAAAAATTTGCTTTTCCTGCCTTCCAGAAGAAGTGTAGGACTGTGTTGGTGCAAACAACTGCTGAGGAAAACTGCACCAAATGTGCTGCGACAAATTTCTTTTAAAAATTGCTCTGTGTGAATTACAATCTGCTTCAGTAACATTTCTGGATATACTTGACAGCCATGCATCGCAGAATATCCAACTGGACTGCAGAGTGAGATGACAGTACGTTTTTTACAGCTCACAGTAGTTAAGCTGTGATTGTTGCAGCTGCCTGACGGACTGCATTATTATACAAACCATCAAACCATCATAAAATAAATGACAAGTGAAGGGAAAACTGTTTTGAATGAGTCATAATGGCACTAGATGTTTGTCATCTTCTGTTAGTCCAGTTGTAAGGGCTTGATGTTTTAATTGGTCTTCAGGCTGTTAGCTCTGTAACACTTATTATTTTAGCCAGTGATAGTCTTCCAGTGCTCTTCATATCCCTGCTGACACCAGTGACAGTGGCACACAAGCCAAAGGAAATGAAAGGCAGCAATGGCCATTTTTGGAGAGTAAAACTTGACAGCAGAACATCAGTCACATTGATTTTACTGTGAAGCCAGTAAAGCTGCCCCACTGGCCTATTGCTAGTGAGTGGCCCAGTGGCTCTCCACAGCCAGGCAGGGAAAGAAATGGTGAAAAAGAGCAAAAAGAGAACACAAATAATCCCTTTGTCTAATATCAACCCACCCAAAGTTCTGTTGAGATTTTCAGCTCTGTCTTGTGCAACCAGACATTAATCAAACTCGATGATTTTAGAGAACAGGAACCAGCTGCCTGCATATCTCCATGGCAGTATCTTGTCCAGTTCTTTGACAATATGTGCGTACAATGAATAACTTCACACTTGCATCAGACCTTTCATTTTCAAAGAGTTTTAGGGGTCAGTTTGGTTTTCCCACAAGCCCAGTGTATGGGGCAGAATGTCTTTGCACGGCCCTAATAGCAGACCCTGATGATTCTGTGTTTTGGCTTCCTCCATTCCAGCCCGATAACTGGCACAGCCTACATCCCCTAGTGCTGCTGTGCTGGCCGGCACACTGAAGGTGGTGGAACCACACAGCTCCACCTGTTCCCTATCCCTTCCCACCAGTATGAATTGGGGGACACATCGTAGCCCCACACAGGCTATTCTTCCCTCTGTGCTACTGTCCACTGTATGGGTAACTGGTACAGGAAAGTCTTACTATGACATGCCACAATGTGGTTCTTAGCTATTCCCCACAAACAACCGCTGAGGTGGGTAAGTAGGAGTGTTATTACATCAGTTTTTATAGAGGGGAAAGCCACACTCAGAGTCAATGTCAGAGCTGGGATTAGAACCCAGGCTCCTGTTCCCATGCTCCAGTCAGACCATCATGACACTTTAAGAGTAAATGCTAATGACTGCAGCATGTGAAAAAGGATGTGAGAGAATGGTATAATATTAAGTAGCCATGGCTTGCATATTTGATAGCTGCTAGTGGTCAATTTCAAGCAGTTTCAAGTTTCAAGCAGTTTCAAAAGTTTCAAGCAGTCTAAACCTCAGATTTCAGAGTAACAGCCGTGTTAGTCTGTATTCGCAAAAAGAAAAGGAGTGCTTCTAAACTTTCCACAGGATGCATCCGATGAAGTGAGCTGTAGCTCACGAAAGCTCATGCTCAAATAAATTGGTTAGTCTCTAATGTGCCACAAGTCCTCCTTTTCTAAACCTCAGAGTGATTCTTAACTCTAATATTTTTCAGTAGTGATAACTCTTCTCTCCCTTGTTTTATCCTTCTACAGGGCATATAACCATTACAAACTACTTGTTGAACTATTTTCCTGGTCTTGATATTGAGAAGAGGAATGTATTTGGATTCACAGCACTGATGAAATCTGCAATGCAAGGCCGAACTGAATGTGTCAGAGCCTTAATGTTGGCAGGTATTTGAAATTCTTTGCTTCATCAGTACTTCTTGCTCTGAATAGGATAGCAGTAAATCTATGAAAAGCTGGCCTTTCCAGTATTTACTTTATTGAGAGGCATGGTGGAGCTATTGATACAAATGAAAACAATTTCTGAATGTCTTGTAAATACAGAAGTGAAGCAGTTTTATTTATTAATTATTATTATTGTTACAATAGTACTTTACACTGCTCTTGAATTTCCATCTGAGCAGCTCAGCAGAAATTACAAGCATTCATTGGTTTAGACTTGCATCATCCATGAGAAGTAGATAAGTAAGTTGGGGACTTAGGTGAGGGAGGCATGGCACCCTACAGCCCTGCTAGTGCATCCCAGCCCCTCCACCCCAATCTCAATGCACCCCCAGCTCTGCCAATTCACCCCAACCCTCTGAGCCCCAATCCCCTGCAGCCAAACCTTCCTGTAGCTTAATCCCCTCCAGCGCTGCCAGTGCACCCCAGCACTGCTATGAGTAAGTGATGGAAGAACATTCATTGAGAAATTGGAAGGTTCTTCGCTGACTGAAAAATGTGTGCTGTATGGCATAGAAATACTTTCTCTTAAACATAAAACAGTCAGTATTGTGGAGCAGAAATCCTGTCTGTGATTTCTCTCCCCAGCCCTGCCACAAACTCCACCCTCCAACCGTTCAGAAATGTGACCAGAAACACCATTCCACTGTCATATAGTTGTCCTTCACTCCAGGGACTGCATGTGAGCCAGGCTGTGGGAGGGGGGGGGGAATTAATAATAATAGAAATGTTTGTATGTCAGGGAGTGAAGATTTCAGGGAGATGAGTTCCCTGCTTGTGGTGGGGGGCCTGTATACAGCATTGGGGAGGGGCCAAGTTGGAGGGGGGAATGCAGTGAATGGGTCAGGGCCATGAATAGGGATGTGTGGTGAAGCAGGGCTGGTGTGTGTATGTGTGTTTACATGGGGCGGTGGGGGGGCGCTCAGTATGCAAGTCCCAGGACATGATATGTACAGCTGTCTAAATGACCACTAACACCTAACAACACCATATGTTTACCTGTTAAAAAAACTATGAAATTCAATGGCAAAGAACTATGTTAACGAAGAGTTAAGGTTGCTTGGCAGTATGTCGTCATGCCCATGCTCTTTCAACAGTGCCCCAATACACCCCATTAACATAAATACCTTTACTCTGCCAGCCTCACAGTTGTGGAAATGTCCAAATTCTTCACCTCCTTTTACAACCCAGTCACTGTCACCCACCAGGATTCCACCTAACACTATCAAAGGACATAAAGGTAGCACAAGCCACCTTCCCTCTACCCTCTTTGAGCAATGCCTCAATATGCACATGCTCACACTGGCTCTTGGTACTGTAAGATTCAGATCCTCACACACAGTCACACACTTAGCCAACTCCCCAGGAAGAACATAACACATATACACTTTAAGAACCACTTCACACCTTTGATAGTCTTTTACCCTGAGGGTACATCTACATTTCAGCTCTGTGATTCCCCGCTCATGTAGACTTAAAGCTAATGTGCTAAAAACATCAATGTAGCTGGGGTTGCATGGGTAGTGGCTTCGGCTATCCACATGGTCCCCCTGGGCACACGCTAGACAGATAGCCCAAGTCACCCCCTGTGCTGCCCGGGCTACACCGATATGTTTAGCATGCTAGTTTGAGCAGAGGTACCATGGGTACATCTATGCGAACTAGGAATCACAGTCCCACCTCAAATGTAGATATACCATATGTCACACTGTCTGGAGTAGCTCAACACTGAGAGTACCAGCTTCAGGGCAGACTGTCAAAAACAGGGCAGACCCCCCCAAAAAAAAAAACTGGTGGTGTGTTCTATAATCAGATTTCACCAACCCAGTAAGAAGTGTGAACTCCTTGATCACTATAACAGTCTTACCATGGAGTCACAGACAATAACCTTGACCTCTCCAGTCTATCTTGTCACCCAGGCAAGTTGGACTTCGTGATAAATGGTCACTTACACCAAAAATCACACCATATTCAGGTTGTTTCCAGTTCCAAGAGACCAGTCACTTACCCCAGATCAATTGTTACCCTAGATCTTTCACCAAAGACAGGCTTGTAGCCAATCCTGTAATGAACTATCTAAAGATTTATTAAATAGGAAAAAGAAGTGAGAGTTATTTACAGATTAAAGCAAGCAAAAACATATACATGCAAATGAGTTATTACCTATATCCTGAGAGTCAAAGTGTCTTTTGGGGCATACACAGGAGGTAACCCCTGGGGATCTCTGGCTTCAGTTTGGTGTCTCTAGCCCTGTCAGAGTTCAAACAGGAAAGAGATGGAAAATTTTCCTGAGACTTCTTAAGTCAGGTAAAGCCTAGCAAGGATATGTATCATATTGTTAATGCTGAAAATGTGCAGTATGCAGGAATAAGCTTATCTTGTGAATTTAGTAGCGATACAAGGGTACAAGGGAAAGCTGATGTTCTTCTTTGAGTAGTGTCCCTATGGGTGCTCCACTTTAGGTGTCTGTGTGCCCCTGCACCTCTAATCGGAGATTTTTGGTAGCAGTCTCCTGTTGAGCCCCCGCATGTGCTCTCCTTCCCTTGTGGTCTGCCTCCAGGCTATTTAGCACTGCAAGGGAGAACCCCCGCTCACTTCCTTCTCTACAGAACGAGCAGTTGTCCCTTCCTTATCTGTGTCATTAGCATAAGTAGTGTTTGTTTTGTTACCTTTGTTCTCTAAAAGTACTCAGGCTAGTGTTTTGTTTTATTTATTTTATTCCTTTGGTTTAAAAAGAAAAGAGAAAAAGGAAAAGAATTTCACTTTCCTTCCCTGTCCGGGGGCATTCTCCCCCCCGCCCCAGACATCTAGTAGACTCATAATTATTTTTTTTTCAGTTAAAAAGAAAAGACGATGTTTTTCTGCATATTCCTCCCTGCTAGAGGATAATACCCTCTGCCCAGAGGCTTGCCTGGATCTCTCTGCTCCAAGCGGTGCCTCTCCTGCCAGGAGTCAGTTCCTATAATGGCCAGACACTCTCACTGTGCCTGGGAGACCCTCACAGAAGTGCTTTACCTGCCACACCTAAAACTGCAGCCTCACAGGAGCCGGGAGCTGAAGTTAAAATTCTTCCCGATAGAGAAAACACTTCAGTCTGCAGGGGACTCCGGCGGGTGGTGACCCCGGATCATCCCCGGAGCCTTCACTTCCAAAGGGGTCGAGTGGTGAAGAGGAGGAGAGAGAGAGAGAAAGAAGCCGCCACAAGCAGACTCCCCCTGGAAAGGCTCCTCCAAGCAACTGGCCAGCCAGAGGGGTGTTCCCCAGTGCAGCCATCTTGGTAGGACAATACCAGCAGAGGAACCTCCTGCTGCGAGCTAAGCGGCAGCTCTGGTTCAGCATGGGGCTTCCTGCTGTGAGCTCTGCCCTGCTCTGAGCTCTGCTCTCCCCACCGACAAGGGGCTTCTGTAAGCTCTGTGCTGCTCTGAGCTCTACTCTGTACCAAGCAGGCACAGTTACCCTACCATCTCGACACGGAGAAGCCCTGCTGTGAGCTCTGCTTGGGCACCAAGACACCAGAGGCTTCCACCCTCATGCTCTGAGGCAACAGTACCATCCCCAAAGGAGAGGGGACAGTTATTGTACCATCTCTGACAGGTTTCAGAGTAACAGCCGTGTTAGTCTGTATTCGCAAAAAGAAAAGGAGGACTTGTGGCACCTTAGAGACTAACCAATTTATTTGAGCATGAGCTTTCATGAGCTACAGCTCACTTCATCGGATGCCACAAGTACTCCTTTTCTTTCTTCGTACCATCTCTAAAAGAGCGGCATAGAGAAACCCTTCAGTACCAGATGCAACAAAACTCCCATCTAGGAAGTGTTCTGCACCTTCCCAACCATTGATACCGACTACAGACACTCCTCTGGGGTTCCGGATGAGCCCATGGTAACACAGGTGCTCGGATACTCTGGAGACCTGTGGCCTCAGTACCCAGGGAGAGACAATTACCATACCGTCTCTAAAAAAGTGGCACCAACAAACTTTTTGTACTGGGCAAAACTCTCATTTAGGGAGTGCTCTGCCCAACTATCGGTACTGACAATGTACCACAGACCCTCCTCGGTGGTACCAAATGAACCCATGGTACTGCATGAGCTCTGGTACCCTGGAGACCTGATGATTGGGGAAGAACCACAATCCCCATTACTTGGTACCAGGACCCCGGTATCAAGCACATCCCCGCACCCAGAATTGCTCTTAGCACTGGGCTGTATACTGCCAATACCCCAGTCAGCAGCACCCTTACCCACTGACGAATCTGACACTGGCCAGGAGAAGATCATTCCCTGGCCCCTCAAGGTGGCCCACCACCACACTATAAGGGTCATCCCCAATTCCATCATGCCAACCGCCCGTGCCTGCCTTCCTGCCTCTCCCTCCCAAGGCTATATTGTAACTTTTCGGGTATATACACACACATGGCGCGACCGTCTCTGGTGTCTCTCAGGGAGAATCCACCAGATGGTTTGCTACAGCCTGGCACCTGAGCCAGGGCAGGAGAGCACCTGAGCCAGAACAGGAGACAGCTTTTTCAGAACAGGAAAGAAGGGGGAAGGGGAAAAACAAACAAAACAAAACAAAACCATACCTGAAGAGGAAGCTACCTCTTGAGCCCACTTCTCCTCATCCCTCCCAGATGAGACTGTGCTGCCCACTCCTCATCACTAGGTGAAGATTTAAGAACTTTCTGGATCTTACCAAGAGGGTGGCAGACGAGCTGCAGATTCCCTTACAGGAGGTGGCAGATACACATCACAAGTTGGTGGAAATTCTGCACACTACCTTCTCATCTAGAACTGTCCTCCCAATTAATGAGCTGATTCTAGATCCTACCAAAATCATCTGGCAGAGCCAGCCTCCATCGCACCAACCAGCAACAGAGTGTAAACAAAAACAACCCTACATCTCTACCCAAAGAGGCAGGCTTTGTTTTCAACATTCGCAACCC